GCCATTGGCGGAGGGGGCGGGGCTTCCGACCGAGGGCAGGGCCTGCAGGGCCGGGGAGCAGCTCGCCCCCGCGGAGCTGCTCGCCCCCGGGCCCCGGCGGTAAGGCCGGCTCTCCTCTCGCAGCCCGCTGTGGCTCCCAGATGCCGCTGGACGTCAATGATAAACAACGGCGTAGTGTCCTCCGGCTTGCCCCGTGCTAGGGCTGCGGCAGCTCGGCACGCGTCCCAGCCGAATGACCCCTGAGCTTCAGGCTCCGAAGCAGCCGGGGACGGGGGTGAATGGGTTCCCTCCCTCAGGCGCTGGACCAGCAGGTGCCACGGTGCTAGAAGAGGCACCGGCCGTGCGTCATGGCCCTGACCGCAAGGCCTGGCCGGTCGGGGCGGTGGGCAGAGCTGCTCTTCAGCGCTGGGGCCCTTCGCACCAAACCCGGAGAGGGTTTTGAGCAGCCGCGGGCGGGTTCCTGCAGGCCTGGCTCTGGGGCTGTTGCAACCTGGCAGAAACAGCTTGGCTTCTGCCCGCGTTGGGGCTTTCCCGCTGCCCAGCCGGAAGGAGAACCAGCCAGATACCTTGGCAGACACGCACAGCACTAGCCAACAAGGGGGAGCGCCAGGAGAGTTAAGAAAGAGTTAGACGTTTGTTTCATTCAAGGGTTTTGGGGCTTTGGCCAGACATTCTAGGATTGTTTGTCCTTACTTCAGCACCGTGCAGGCGTGGGGCATTCCCCACCAGCAGCCAGGAGGCTGTCCGCTTTCTTTTCCATCAGCTGGGCTTTATCACCCAGAGGGGAACTGCATTAACTAGTTGCTAAAGATGCGCAAAGCTTCAGCCAGCACAGGAGCACCATCAGCTCGCACACCCCTCTCCGCCCCAAGCAAAGATGTGCTTGGACGACTTGGGTCACAAGGCAGCTTCGCAGCCTGCTCCCACCTCATGATACCTTTGGCAGCGGGCCCTGTCCTGCGGCTCCCCCGCGGAGCATGTGGCATCATGGAGCGCCGGTGCTCAGTCTGCAGCCTTTGCTGCTTCTCAGACAACTCCTCAGGCCCCTGTTTCTTTTCAAGGAATGGGACCAAGCACAGTACCTGAGAGGAGCGAGCAGTCTTCCCCACCTCCTGCTCCCTCTTCGAGAGAGACATACTAGAAGAGACATAATTCCCATCCTCCTTTTCTTTCCCCTGTAGGAAAACAACCTTCACACCTCTCTCTTTGCACCAAGCTTTCTCCAGCCTCTTCAACCCTCTTAGCAGGGAAAGTTTGCTCTCCACTGGTACACCCAATGACCTGCCCGCCTGAGCCACCTCCAGGTGCAGCAACAAGCAGCGGTGGAGTTTGCTGCTGTCTCTCCTGATGTGGTTTCACATCCGTTTCCCATACGTCCCAACCCCCTTCGTCGGGGCTGTTTGCAGAGGCAGTTCCAGGCACTGCTTTTCACCGATGTGAAGCCAAAGACCTCAATTATGAACAGTAGTTTGAAATACTGTAATACTTGCCTTTCTTCAGCAGCTTCCTAGTGAGGATCTCGAGGCTTTCTGTAAACTGGAATTAGTCAAACCTCAGAGGCCCTCCTTGTATTTGGCATTACAGCTCTTTTGCAGCTGGAAGAAAATATTTCAGTTTGGTTACGTGTCTCGCCTGGAGCCATGCAGTGAATCACTGGCAGGAAGAGGAACAGAACTCAAAAGCCATTTAACTGCCAGCTCTGGCCATCAGGCACTTCTCTTTCCTCCACCCTTGAAGTTACTTATCCCAGCACACATTTAATACTTTACACATATGTTTTGCCATTACAACAGCAAACACTAAAATTTGGGTCTCATTTAACAGCTTCGTGCCTTCGCTCTGAAACAGTACATCGAGAAGAGCTGAGGCAGAAGGATGTGAAACGTGCTTTCTGGCAGGCTCCCCAGTTGTCCTCACCTGCTCAGCACTGCTCAGCCACGTCGCACACCGACCTCTGTCCTCTGATGGTGTCAGCCAGCCAGGCCAGCTCTCCAGCGGGGGTCCTGGGGGTCCGGTTATGGTGGACACTTGGTGTATTGGCTTTGTGTGGCAAGGTTTTGGTAGCGGGGAGGGGGGGGTTACAAGGGTGGCTTCTGTGAGAAGCTGCTAGAAGCTTCCCCTGTGTCTGACAGAGCCAATACCAGTCGGCTCTAAGACGGACCTGCTACCAGCCAAGGCCAAGCCCATCAGCGATAGTGATAGCGCCTCTGGGATAACATTTCTAAGAAGGAAAAAAAGTTGTGGGACAGAGAGAAACAGCAGCCAGAGAGAGGAGTGAGAACATGTAAGAGAAACAACCCTGCGGAGACCAAGGTCAGTGCAGAAGGAGGGGGAGGAGATGCTCCAGGCACCGGAGCAGAGATTCCCCTGCAGCCCATGGGGAAGACCATGGTGAGGCAGGCTGTCCCCCTGCAGCCCAGGAAGGTCCACGGTGGAGCAGATCTCCACCTGCAGCCCGGGGAGGACCCCACGCCAGAGCAGGTGGGTGCCCGAAGGAGGCTGTGACCCCATGGGAAGCCCGCGCTGGAGCAGGCTCCTGGCAGGACCTGCGGATCTGTGGAGAGAGGAGCCCACATTGGAGCAGGTTTTCTGGCAGGACTTGTGACCCCACAAGAGACCCACACTGGAGCAGCGTGCTCCTGAAGGACTCCACGCCATGGATGGGACCCACGCTGGAGCAGTTTGTGAAGAACTGTGGCCCATGGGAAGGACCCACGTTGGAGAAGTTCACGGAGGACTGTCTCCCGTGGGAGGGACCCCATGCTGGAGCAGGGGAAGAGTGGGATGAGTCCTGCCCCTGAAGAGGATGAAGGGGCAGAAATAACGCGTGATGAACTGACTGTAAATCCCCATCCCCCTGTGCTGCTGCGGGGGGTGTAGGTAGAGAATCCAGGAGTGAAGTTGTGCCCGGGAAGAAAGGAAGGATGGAGGGAAGGTGTTTTGAGATTTGGTTTTATTTCTCATTACCCTACTCTGGTTGATTGGTAATAAATTGAGTTAATTTTCCCCAAGTTGAGTCTGTTTTGCCCGTGATGGTAATTGGTGAGTCATCTCTCCTGTCCTTATCTCGACCCATGAGCCCTTTGTTATATTTTCTCTCCCGTGTCCAGCTGAGGAGGGGGGAGTGATAGAACGGCTTTGGTGGGCACCTGGCGTTCAGCCAGGGTCAACCCACTACACTTGGTCTCAGCAGACTTGTTTGGGCTGTGCTGGGCCCAACATGTCTCTGATGGGGTATGCAGATAAGCCCATTCTCATTTAAATTCTCTCTTAGTGGCAGACAGAAATGGAGGTGGGTTATGAGCCGGAGCAGAGGTGGGCAAGCTGGCCTTGCACAGTCCCACCTGCCAGACCCCGGGCAACATTTCTCCATCTACCTTAGCCGCTGTATGGAGGGACTCGGCTTCGTCCCAGCAGTAGCAGTCAGCGATGATGCTCAACAGGGCAGTCACCGCACCCCCCGCTCCAATGCTCCACATCGCCTCAGTGGGGCACGTGGCACCTGTGCCAGGGCACTCTGCTCAGCCTGTGGCCCAGACCCTGGCTTCCCAGTTCTGCTCTCACCTGCCAGACTCTCCATCCCCTGCTCCCGTGACCCAGCAAGATGTGCCATTGTCTTTCCTCTCTCAATTGCCCTGGGTCCCTTTATCTGCTGGAGAAGGTGAGCTGAGCTTCATGAAGTTCACTTTGGATGCCTGGTAAGCAGATAGATGTGGAAAGGATGCTTATTGCCTTGGCAACATGGCAAAACACAAACAACTCTGACTAACTCAGCATGGAAATACCCTCCCTAGAGGGGCAGGCAAGAGGCCAGAACAGAGCATGCAGCTCTGGGGAATTTCCATCAGCACTGACACAGACGGGCTCCACTCCAAAGTCCTTCCTGGCTGCCCGTAACATGGCAACTCCGCATTACCATTGATGAACCAAGACCCACATTTGGTCCCTTACAAATAAGGGAGATGGGCAGTTGTGGGAATAACTGGAAGGAAGGCAGCATAGGCACATGGAAAATGCTCACCTGGTGGGCAGGAGGCTGCCTGCAGAGGCAGAGCCGGAGGCCAGAGGCCGTTTCACAGAGAAGCCCA